CGGTGGCGTGGGTCGATATCTCGACGCTCCGGAACCACCCACTTCGATACATCAAGGCTACCTCGACACTTCGATACCTCGAGGCTACCTCGACACTTCAATACCTCAAGGCTACCTCGACACTTCGATACCTCAAGGCTACCTCGACACTTGGGTAACTTGCCACTTCGATATCTTGACACTTCAATGCCTCGACACTTGGGTAACTTGCCACTTCGATACCTTGTTGCTTCGATACCTCGACACTTTGATACCTTGTTGCTTCGATACCTCCACTCTTTGATACCTCGACGCTTCGATACCTCGACACTTTGATACCTTGACACTTGGATACCTCGGAGAGAAAGGGAAGGCTTCCCCGCACCGCCCGCTCACGTCCCTTTGCGCGTCTGTTATGCCGTCTCCCCCTCTGAAAGTCCGTCCGTTGCTCTGTCGGTCCGTCTGTCTGTCCACGACACTGTCCGCCCTTCCTCCCTTGGTCGGGTTCATGACATGAGATTTGCGTCTCCGCTGCTGTGGCCCAATCCCCATCAGGAAAGAATTCGCGCGGAATACCCCGCACTACTCTCCCCGCCCCGACTTCTCCCAACTCAATTTGGGCATCCACCTCCTCCACTCGGCCAGAAGCCCCTCAGCGCAGCCGCAAAAAAAAGGCCCCTCAATCTGGGGAGCGGCTGACTGGAAAACCCGTGACTGGCGTCATGTTTTATTGAGAGGTAATGTACGCCGGGATAATTTGATTTGCGGGCTCGGGAAACCGGAACCGGATTCAAAAATTTGAGGTTTCAATACCGCAGCGCAGAACGCTGCCAAGGCCGAGACACCCCACCCCTACCCGAGTAACCTCCACAGCCGCGCCGTGGCCGTGGCCCCGCCCGGGGCAGCCCGAGACAGGCTGAGCTCCTCCCTGTTTGCCCTCCAGAATGGGGGAGCGGAGGACAGGCAAGGGCGGATTTAAAGGGGGGGCAACAGGTGTTTTGCCCCCCCCTCAGCGTCAGCCGACATGGGAAAAAATGGGAGAAGGGAGAGGGAAGAAAGGGAGGGAAGAAAGAGAAGAGACAGAGAGAGAGAAGGGAACGAAGGAGAAAGATGGCACTAACACTGAGAAATCAAACGTGGTACGAATCGAAAGACATCGAGACATCAATAGCTTTATCATTAAAGCAAAAATAAAAAATACCGTAAACCGGGGTAACTTGAGACAATATTTCACGTTTGGACCGCGTGTCTGCTAAACTTCTTTCACCAACCCAAATCCTAATCATGTTTAATTTCACGTGACTAATCGGTTTGGAACCCATGAATTTTTCGGGGGTCACCTAAAATGAGAGTCACAGGCCTCCAAAGTTGTCTGAAGTTACCCCGCCATTTGGGGTAACTTTGCTTTTCAACGGAAGTGGGGCTTTCGCCGGTCCATACTGATTTCCTTAGACGTTTACCTTATTTGCTATGAAGAATACATTAGAAAATTTTTGAAGCTCATATGAAGGTTTTCGAAACAAAGTTTCATCTTGTAATTTGAGGGATGACGGTGCTTAAGAAGCACTACGATTCTCCCATTTCACATCCGACCGTGTCACCTGTTAGGACATTTTTCTTTTCTCTCACCCACACAAATTCATTGCTGCAATGACAGATAGCCTACACACTAAATGTCATGGGACTTTTTTTGTCCCACGATTTATGCAATTTTAAGCACATCCGACGCTGATACAATTTTGTTCCCGTCTGGTGGCACATTTTGTCCGGCGCCAGCTGGAACTTGTACTTTCACTAGACAATTTGTCCCGCCTGGCGGGCACAAAATTGCATCACCACCGGATGTGCTTAAAATTGCATCATTCGTGGGACAAAAAAAGTCCCATGACATTTAGTGTGTACGTCAATGCTTAAAATTTATTCAAAATTATTAAGCTATTTCCACAGTAGTTTCTCTTATAAAGCGACGGGTCTTGAGCTAAAGCTTATCCGATCTGAACGATATTTAGCTCGTTAGAAAGGCAATGAAATTGTCCATCTTTTGAGACCCCAAGGTTTATTGTGTCTATCGGGTCCGTTCATAGTTGAGAAAAATCTCCAACTTTAAGCTGCATATCAACTTGGGACTCTATACACTGACTAAAAAGGGATTGCCGATCAAATGCGGTTTGGCTATGACCTTAGAGCGGAGAGGCCAGTAACTAGTAAAAACCCTTTTGTGCAAGCAAGGGCGGATTTAAAGGGGGGGCAACAGGTGTTTTGCCCCCCCCTCAGCGTCAGCCGACATGGGAAAAAATGGGAGAAGGGAGAGGGAAGAAAGGGAGGGAAGAAAGAGAAGAGACAGAGAGAGAGAAGGGAACGAAGGAGAAAGATGGCACTAACACTGAGAAATCAAACGTGGTACGAATCGAAAGACATCGAGACATCAATAGCTTTATCATTAAAGCAAAAATAAAAAATACCGTAAACCGGGGTAACTTGAGACAATATTTCACGTTTGGACCGCGTGTCTGCTAAACTTCTTTCACCAACCCAAATCCTAATCATGTTTAATTTCACGTGACTAATCGGTTTGGAACCCATGAATTTTTCGGGGGTCACCTAAAATGAGAGTCACAGGCCTCCAAAGTTGTCTGAAGTTACCCCGCCATTTGGGGTAACTTTGCTTTTCAACGGAAGTGGGGCTTTCGCCGGTCCATACTGATTTCCTTAGACGTTTACCTTATTTGCTATGAAGAATACATTAGAAAATTTTTGAAGCTCATATGAAGGTTTTCGAAACAAAGTTTCATCTTGTAATTTGAGGGATGACGGTGCTTAAGAAGCACTACGATTCTCCCATTTCACATCCGACCGTGTCACCTGTTAGGACATTTTTCTTTTCTCTCACCCACACAAATTCATTGCTGCAATGACAGATAGCCTACACACTAAATGTCATGGGACTTTTTTTGTCCCACGATTTATGCAATTTTAAGCACATCCGACGCTGATACAATTTTGTTCCCGTCTGGTGGCACATTTTGTCCGGCGCCAGCTGGAACTTGTACTTTCACTAGACAATTTGTCCCGCCTGGCGGGCACAAAATTGCATCACCACCGGATGTGCTTAAAATTGCATCATTCGTGGGACAAAAAAAGTCCCATGACATTTAGTGTGTACGTCAATGCTTAAAATTTATTCAAAATTATTAAGCTATTTCCACAGTAGTTTCTCTTATAAAGCGACGGGTCTTGAGCTAAAGCTTATCCGATCTGAACGATATTTAGCTCGTTAGAAAGGCAATGAAATTGTCCATCTTTTGAGACCCCAAGGTTTATTGTGTCTATCGGGTCCGTTCATAGTTGAGAAAAATCTCCAACTTTAAGCTGCATATCAACTTGGGACTCTATACACTGACTAAAAAGGGATTGCCGATCAAATGCGGTTTGGCTATGACCTTAGAGCGGAGAGGCCAGTAACTAGTAAAAACCCTTTTGTGCAAGGAAGTGCCTGTGTCAAGTTACGCCACTCAACTTCCGGTAAATTCAATGAAATTTGCTGTCTCAAGTTACCCCGTATAGTTACCATTTTCTATAGAAGTCAGTATTACCCTATAAATGATGGGTTCTCCTCGAAACCAATGCTACATTTAGAATGTTGAAATAATAGGGTTGAAAGGTACTTCAGTCATGTGGGTCTCACCAAGGCGTGTTTGGAGTACCAAGGGAGACTTGTAACACATCTCTAAAATAGTTAAATTTACTGAAATTTAAAAAAATGGTCATAGCACTGCCTTGGATGGTCCAAAACCACCGTCCAAACGCTTAATCCTCTTTCCAATCAAGTATGTAAACAAGTGCTTGGTCAGTTTTGACCTCGGAATGTGCCCAGCTAAGTGGCAGCTCCAGGGTAGAAAAGCAGAAGTGTCTCAAGTTACCCTTTCTGTCTCAAGTTACCCCGGTTTATGGTAACGAAGAAGCTTATATTTAGATTCGTTTTGGTGTATCTTCAAACAAAAATGCCCCTGAACGTAGGCAATTCGCACCACTTGCCCCCCCTAAAGCCTCTGGCTGGATCCGCCCTTGTGTGCAAGGAAGTGCCTGTGTCAAGTTACGCCACTCAACTTCCGGTAAATTCAATGAAATTTGCTGTCTCAAGTTACCCCGTATAGTTACCTTTTTCTATAGAAGTCAGTATTACCCTATAAATGATGGGTTCTCCTCGAAACCAATGCTACATTTAGAAGTGAAATAATAGGGTTGAAAGGTATTTCAGTCATGTGGGTCTCACCAAGGCGTTTTTGGAGTACCAAGGGAGATTGTAAACATCTCTAAAATAGTTAAATTTACTGAAATTTAAAAAAAATGGTCATAGCACTGCCTTGGATGGTCCAAAACCACCGTCCAAACGTTTAAATCCTTTTTCCCAAATCAAGTATGTAAACAAGTGCTTGGTCAGTTTTGACCTCGGAATGTGCCCAGCTAAGTGGCAGCTCCAGGGTAGAAAAGCAGAAGTGTCTCAAGTTACCCTTTCTGTCTCAAGTTACCCCGGTTTATGGTAACGAAGAAGCTTATATTTAGATTCGTTTTGGTGTATCTTCAAACAAAAATGCCCCTGAACGTAGGCAATTCGCACCACTTGCCCCCCCTAAAGCCTCTGGCTGGATCCGCCCTTGAGGACAGGCAACACGCCATCTTCCGGGAAGGGCCGCGACGCGCCATCGTTCCCAAGATAGAAAGTGCCTGGGATCTTCGGGACGCTCCTTGCCGAACGCGAACTCAAATGAGCAATGTGTGAAGCCATGAGTTTAATTGCGGAAACGAGCACTCCCAATATCCTACTGAGCGTTTTCTTCGTAATACGAACAAAAAGCTTAGTATTGTGCACACTTTCCAGGTCGAACAACAATGATTATCTAAACACTCTTCACTATCAGGCCGCTCTCTCATTGAATGATGAAATGCTCTTGTTTATTTTTCAGTGTATAACTTGAACGTTTTTCGCCGTAAACAAACTCTCGCTGTGGTTCTGGTTGCAGGTGGCGCGTCCCCGATGTGAGGCGTGGTGCGGCGCGGACCCAGGCTCTGTGCTCGCGGCTTGCGCGGCTAGCACGGCTCACGCCGCCCCGGCGGCCCCCCTCCCCCCGTCGGCACTCCCCGGCTGCAAGATAAAATTGCGGCGCCTGTCGCTCTTCTCCTCCTCCGGGAGCGGGAACAGCGGCAACACCGGCCAGCTCAATGGCGTCTCGGACGCCCAGGTGGCCGCCCCGGCGCCCGCCATGTTCTCCAAGCTCAAGGGGGCGGGCGGCGGCGGCGGCTCCGGCCACAGCCCCCTGGACACCAACCCCATCACGCAGTACTTCGAGGTGGGCAAGCAGACGGCCTGCGCCGGACCCGGCCTCATCTGGAAGATCTACGACGCCGTGCGCAAGTCCGACAGGAAGGTGGGTCAGTCCGCCGTCCATTTCAAAATACTTCGACCGCGATGCGTCAGTGAAAGAGGTATCATTTCGGTGTGCTATATAGAGAGGCCTGTGTGTGTGTGTGTGTATGACAGAGACAGAGACAGAGAGAGAGAGAGAGAGACGAGTGCTAGTCCGTGAACGTGATAGAGCACGGTGTTACGCGACGCCGCAATGTGTCGGCTGCACTAACTGTCCTCGCTCTTTTTTGACACGTTCTTTCACAGTGGCGCGGTTGGGTGGCGGCGTCCGGGCCTTACGGCCTAGTGGCGCGGCAGCTGTCCACTGGAAAAGAAACAAGACGCCACGATTTTTGCTTTTGTTTTGACAAAAAAAGCGAGGCAAGTAAGCCGTTTTTCTTTGTTGTTTTTTTTCCTTGTGCGGTTTTTACGGCTTCTTCCACGCGTGAGGGCACTATTTGTTGCCACCTGATGTGCGATACAGGCATGTAAAATTCAGCGCGGCTCGACGAGGGGGAAAATAAAACCCAGGCGGGTAGAAAGAAAGGCGGTGGAGGGTCGTCATCCGACAGCGTGGCAGTGAACAAGTAACCAGTGCAAAAACAGGAGCCAGCGCGCTGTAAACAACAAAAGCCCGGCCCTAAAAACGATGTGTTGTTGTTGTTGTTTGACGCTCGCGTCGTGCGCCGCTAAACACTACAGCACGCAGCTGTGGACGGAGAGGCAAGGACCGGGCAGCAAATGGGAAAGTGAGAGCGGAGGTGGAGGTCAAGCACGGGGGCTGGCAACACTATGACGCAAAACACACGCACGCTCTCTCTCTCCCTCTCCCTCTCTCTCTCTCTCTCTCTCTCTCTCTCTCTTTCTCTCTCCCAAACACACACACACACACACGTGGTGACGCAGAACTGCCCCCACGGTGCGTCCACCCACCCACTCACACCCAAACACAGACACACTCTACTGTGGTGCACCGCTCGTCCACCTGTGCTGTCGGCAAAACGGAGTCAAACGCGTTTTCGTTGAACGAAACTCTGGCTCTGGCCGATTTGACTCGATTTTACTGATGTTGTTTGGCTCACTTCCCTTCCAAAACCCGCGCGAAAAATGAGTTTCGTTTTTTTTCTCTGGCTCGTGTTTTGCGGCCCTGCGGACGTCCCTTGCCTTCAAAGCCGCCTGCCAACAGGTGGCGGGCCGAGCCTTTAGTGCCGCCCAACGCCTAGGCGAGGCGAGCTGCCTATCTCGCAGTTCGCAGGCGCTTGGGCCGCGGAGTGAAGGGGCGCCCTGCTCGCCTGGAGCGTGCCTGGAGCGTGCCCGGAGCGTGCCCGGAGCGTGCCTGGAGCGTGCCTGGAGCGTGCCCGGAGCGTGCCCGGAGCGTGCCTGGAGCGTGCCCGGAGCGTGCCTGGAGCGTGCCTGGAGCGTGCCCGGAGCGTGCCCGGAGCGTGCCCGGAGCGTGCCCGGAGCGTGCCCGGAGCGTGCCTGGAGCGTGCCCGGAGCGTGCCTGGAGCGTGCCCGGAGCGTGCCTGGATCGCGCTGACCGACGGACAATGGAACAATGCGCCCATATCGGCCGCCTGTCAGCCGGCGGTGGTGCCGTTTTATTTATTTTCCCCCTTTTGCGCTTGTTTTAACTGGTGGAATACAGCCTCACAAATTGGCGCGCGGACCAAACAGCGGTAAAAAAATGAGGGTAATGAAAAATAAAACCACGCCATGTCGGCTATAATTGCGACATCCTTTTTTTTTCGCGTCCCGTTTTATGTAGTATTTACAATGTATTCCTCTCGATTTTAGGCTGATATCATATTTTCTGGTTTTGAAAACGACGTGCGTGGTTATCGACATGTGCCATACCCTGTTTGCCTCGGTGCGTTTCTTACTATTGTCGTTCCCAGTCATCCGTCTCTTTCATTCTCTCACTTCTTTTTTTAAAATTGTGTGATCGTGGAGGGAGGACGACATCAAACGACGGTTCGCTCCGTCGGCCCCGGCCGTGGCAATACACTCAGGGTCAACGTGCCAGGCCTGCCTGGCCTGCCGGGCCTGCCAGGGGGCGGGGCAGGGCGTGGCTGGGCGCGGCGCGGCCCCATGCTTCCGGTGGTCACCGCGCTGGCGTGGCGAAGCTCCTCCAAGGCGGGGTTGGGCAACAGCTTTAAATCACAGCACTCTCCAACAGTTCGCAGAGACCGTGCACTCGGTTGGTCGGCCCGACTCCAGAACGCAGCGTTTTTAATTTTCATAATTGTTTCGTCTAATCTGCATAATCGTCCGCTGCTTTTGAAGCCGTCCTTACAGTGGTGGTGCACGCGCGCGGGGGCGGGGGGACACTGCACAGTGGGCCAGAAGACCGGCGGAGGCGCCCAAATTCCCGGACGCGTTTTGGGCTCCACACTCTTAAAACCTTACGAAGTATTATGAGCATACATATAACAAACTAAAATACTTTGTTATACGAAGAAATAGTTCGTAAATTACGAAGTATTTACTTTGTAAGCTTATGTACGCTCAAAATACTTTGTTATACAAACTACTTTTCTTTGCACAGTAAATCCAAAACCCAGTTTCTGGGGCATCAAAACGTAGAAAAAACCCAGAAATCGGGGTATAAAGATACCGGTAACTTTTTAAACAGAAGCCGTGCGCCATTGCCACCAAATCTTGCAGGTTTGCCGCAGAACTCGGGGTGGACCCCCGTTTTGGTAGGATGGCTGTTCAATAGCTGTCACGGTGCTTCGGAGGCTGCGGCACGCCCCGAGGGGTGTGGTACCTTGAAACAGATTCATTTCTCCCCGGATTTTGGTCAAAAACGCCCCAGAAACTGGGTTTTGGGTTTACTGTGTGTAAGGCCCAAAATAGTTTGTAAGGTTTTCTCAGTGCAGAGTCGGTAAATGGCACTCGAACCGAACGTGTGACCCCACCAATGGATTGCTCTCCGAACGAGGAATCCATTGGTGGGGTCACACGTCGGTTTCGTGCCCTGTTTAGCGACTCTGGAGCTTAAAACGCGTCTAGAGTTTTGGCCGCCTCCACCGGTCTTCTGGCCCACTGTGCACTGCGCACTGGGGACACTCTTCTCCCTCGTCGACTCACCGTCCGCATCTCCAATTCCCATTTCCGGCCCCATCGATTCCCCAGCACGCTGCGGTCCGGTTCCGAAACAACCCCCCGTCTCTCTCGCTGCGCCGCACCGGTGCGAGAGAGACGGAGAAGACGCCCAAAGCTTTCTCGGCGCACACAGACGCATCACTTAGGATAACGACGTTTCCGACGGATGCTTCGGGGCGCCAGTCTGCGCCGAGGCGAGCCGAGGCTCCCCCGCAATATTTTAACACAATTTCAGATTGTCGGAGCGGGAGGGAGGAGGAGGGGGAGAGGGTGCCGCGCAGCGGGCCGGAAAACACGCATCCGAGATGGGGGGGGGGACGCCCGGCTCATAATAGTAATGATAATAGCAGGGGCGGCCCGCCACGAGGCGTCGGTGGCGAGAGCTCCTGCACGCCACCCTTGGCTCGGCGCGCCACGCCCCGGCAGCCTGCCTGCCTTCGCGCGTTGCATGTTGCGCCCGCTCAGACAGACAGACGGACAGACGTCAAACAGGCAGGCAGGTAGATAGACGGACGGAGTGACAATCTAAATTTTCGCCGGGCTGTGGGACGGTTATTTGATTATTGTTTTATAACCGTAACGCGTGACGAGAAATTTTTCGTTGCTCACAGAAATTTCTCGTTACTTACAGATATGTTTTGTTACTCAAATAAATTTTTCGGTACTCAAACAAATTTTTCGTCACTCAAATCATTTTTTCGGTACTCAAAGAAATTTTTTCGGTGATCACGGAACCAACGTACTTTTCCGTTGGGTCAAGGAATTTCTTTTTTCCCGTGTAGGTGGTGGCACACTTTAGTCGACAGGGGGTGAAAGGTGGACCGAGATGCCAGAAGCAAGTCCCGCGACATTCGGTGGGAGTCCCACCCGTCGCGGGGCATCAAGGGCGCGCGGTTTAACCCTGGAGGCTGAGGAGAGGGACCGGAGAACGAAAGGGAAAGACGGAGGGAGGGGCCCTTGCTTCAAAGGGCTGTGGGGCCGTCCCAGGCCGTCCCAGGCCGTCCCAGGCCGGACTGGACCGGGCGAGGCACCCGAGGCAGCCAAGGCCCTCGGACGGACAGTCTTGTCGCTAATTAGACCACCCCACTGTCAAGGGAGTGGCAAGCGAGGGCCGCCGAGTGGAATCGAGGAATCGAAGCAGCAAAACGATGCCAGAACATGCCCGCCAGAACACCACCAGCGTTCCTGTGGACTGACTGTCCGAGAGTCCTTTTCTGCGCTCTGTCTCTCTCGTGCAGGTGTGAGAGAGACAGAGGGACGCAAACGCCCCTTGAGCCTGCTGGACCTCAAGCCACGGGGTGGCCCGGGCGAACCGCGACCTCGCGGCGGGTACCTCTTCCCCCCCTCCCCCATCCCCGCTCCCCCCAACGGTCTCGGCTCGGCCCACCTACAGTAATTATTCGCAGGCAACCGCCTGAAAGGGTCCAGCTGTGGTCGGGCCGACCGCACCGCGCCACACCACAGTGGGCCAGAAGACCGGTAGAGGCGGCCAAAACTCTAGACGCGTTTTGAGCTCCAGAGTCGCCAAACAGGACTCGAACCGAACGTGTGACCCCCACCAATGGATTCCTCGTTCGGAGAGCAATCCATTAGTGGGGTCACACGTTCGGTTCGAATCCCATTTAGTGACTCTGGAGCAACGCGTCGTGAGTTTTGGCCGCCACCACCGGTCTTCTGGCACACTGTGCGCACCGCGGCGCACCGCACGGCCCTACACCTCAAACAGCATACAAAGCAAGCTGGCCCTTTCTTGCACGCTGCCCCGAAGGTCTGTCTGTCTGTCTGTACCCATATCTGCACACGCACTCACCTGACCTCTGTCCACCTCTCTTGATGAGAATTTCGAGGCTGATTTTCCTTGCAAGCGAATGGCATCAAACCAGGTGATGAATTCGTTGCGACGCTCACGCAAAAAGTACAGGAGCTTTGATGAAAACGTAACATCAATTCGTGATGACGTCATTCCTTTGACAAT